ATGCAAACCCTTTACAGGTGACTGTATGTATAGAATTTGTAGGGTTGTAATATGGACTCTATTCTCCGCATTTAGCCTCTCATCTGGGCCTTTGTGCGTGAATTTGTAGGGTTATTTATTTATTCTGTACTAGCTGAGCCCGCAAATTCGTACCGGTATAACTTTTCGGCGCGTAAACAAATTGGAATAAAACAAACACAAGAAATAAAGCTAAACATTAGTAAAAACTGCAGAAAAATCATTTATAACTTAAATGATTTTTACAAAGATTATAAACGCGTAGACCAACAGATAAAAATCTGTAACGATTGTTATGAGTTCACGTTTAAAATGTCATAGTTTGATAATTTTATATTTTGTCTCATTTATATTTCACCTATAGACTGATGCGTTACATTTTTATTATATACTATCTGTGCCCGCGGTTTTACTCGCGTGAAATTTATAGCCTTAAAACTTATTCTGATGTATAGCTATATTGCTGTAAAGTTTTATCAAAAGCCGTTCAGTAGTTTTTTCGTGAAAGAGTATCAAACATCCGTCCATACTCCATCCATCCATATAACTTTCACGTTTATAACATTAATAAGATATGTGTATACGAGTATATATCTATAGATAGATATTGTTAACTTTTAGTTTCACAAAATTATTAACCTATTATGTGGCTACAAGAGAGTAGGAGCTGGTAGTTGGTGTCAATTATAAACTGTGCTAACTGGAGATTATGTTGTCATCACCTATGTCAAATTGCGTTTTATGACAGAATTAATGAATATTAATGTACATATATACATCTATTAGGTTGTTGACTGATACAGTTTTTCCAATTTGTTAAATAGTAATGTGTACAACACAAAGAAATTAATGGTTAGTTATATTTTTAAAACAAAATTGAAGTATGGCATTGGAGTATGATAGTAGAGATGGTTACCACCTACCCACCTACCATCATGTGAACTGTCAACTTCTTTGCCATTCTAATTCTAATCTGTCAGGTCAACATTAAAGAATTTTTTTTATAATATATATTACTTACATAGTATATATGATATTCTCCTAGTACATTTGTACACTATAGTACGTTACTCTTTAAGAAACGAATGACGTGCCTAATCTAATGTTATTGTGTCTTTATATTGTATTTGAAATATGAATAAATGTTGATTTCGATATGATTATATATAATAGATGCACACATATAAGGCACATAGTTACCGTGGATATCTATGGATACTATACATAATATGAAAATTATTCAGTTTATTTGCTTTGGAATTTCAATGGCCACACTACATGTGTCATTGTTATTGTTGTTATCACATCTTGCATTGTAATAATTATTGTAGAATATTCTTATATATGCAATCTGTCGGGCAACATCTACGTGATTTGTTATATAGCTTTAGTATATATGTATCTATATCTAAAATTGTATACTTTACAAAGCTATATTTATTTATTTTTGTCTAAATGTAAGAGTAACTTGTTCTGAATAACTGCAATACAGTCTTTATATACTAACATAGTTATTTATGGATTGTATTGGATTATTTACGATCCAATCTTATTGTAATTATTTTTGTGGGTTTCAAAAATTTCATCTCTCTTTTTTTAGATTATTTACGCATTCAAGCATCCAAATTATTGTATATAATACGAAAAAAATATATAACGAAAAAAAATATGCAACGCAAAATTTTGATAAAACGCAATCTCGCGTACCTTACGGAATATTTTATTAACGAATATATTCTGTATAAGCTTGTCAATTCGACTGAATTTCCTTCTTGTAAGTTACGTGACTTTCTCGCCAAATGTATGTAATGTATCAGATTCAGGTGGTTTTTTTCCAAATGATATGAGTACTTTATTTTCATAGATTTAGTATCGATATTCACCTATTATTAGTATATTTAAAATTTCACGATTATATTGTTGTCTATACGTATTTATTATTATAGAAGATACAGTTTACGATTTATATTTATGATTTCAAGAGTTACATGTGGACACAAACAAAGTGTCTGAAATGCGGGTGACGTCAAGGCGATCAGTAACAATACCCTTGCCCTGGGAATTCTCGTGACACAATCCTTGAGGTCAAGGAAAGTAGTAATTTTATATATATTGCTTTTTATAGCCCGTAATTCCACTAAATCTTCGTGTGGTTATGAAGTAGGAAAAGACCATTCTTTTCATTTCTCAGTAGGTGGCTAGGGGAACAATGTAGATACAGCAATATGTGACAAATCCTTATTGAATACGTATTGCTACAGTAGCTTTAGGAACAAAAACAATTAAACATGTTATGGAGTTCCGTTCAGTATTAAACTACCATTTCTGCCTGTTTGCGCAAAGTAGAACTTACGAGCTACAAACTAGATTTAACTTCAAACGGCAGTTACCTGGATATACAAAATAATATACATTTTTTTTATATGCTACGTAGGTGGAAAATAAGCATACGGTAAATGGCTAAGTTAACTTATGGACGCCGAAACCTTAATATATCCTTGTTGTAAAATCCCGTAGTGTCTCGCGAAACCATCGACTGGTAGTTCATCCCACAATCTAAGTGAGACGCGTGTAATTAAAATAAACAAAGGACGATTTATTCTTATTCATAGCAAATAAAATCAAAGACACTAGTTTTGCATAATGATATCCACACGTTTCTGACAAATTGACTTAACCATAACATCAAAACAACATTTTCCCAGGTCTAATCAAGCGAACAACTTATACCTATTACAAAATGTGTGTTTATGTGCGTAAACAAACATTTTATGATATAGATTGTGCGAAAATCAGGGGTTTTATTTCGAATTGACTACTCAGAATAATCGAATCTAATGGTAGTCGAGCCAACTTACATACATTGTTCTAATTCAAATTATCATGATTGTTTGATGTACAGTAGTATTCATTACATCTAGTCTAGTTAAATGTAGTCACTTGAATTCTGGCAAAGAGTACTTCCAAAAGTAATATTTAAATTATAATAATTAGTTACCCCATTTCTATTTCTATGGTATATATTCTATACTTTATCTTCTATCTACTTCTATTCGAACTATGTTCTCATTTACTTGCCAGGGATTTCAACTTTTTTCAAGTAGATAGTGGAAATAGCAAACAATTGAGGTTAAGAATTTGTTTTTATACAATTATGTTATTGTTTCTTAGAAGGCAAGTGATTATATTTGATTATACCGGATAAGTACAACTAGAAAATATCCGAATCTTCGAAACTTTGGTTATGTTATTTCGTAGTAGACCCCTGAAATTGCTTAACTAATCTGCATAAATATTGAAAGAGTTCGATTATGTTTTGAAATAAACTCAATAAAAACTTTGTAACGCTTTCATAACTCGGGCTTTATTTTCTAATTTACAACACGTGTTATACGATTTAAGACATGTAAATGGCATTATGAATAAAAATTGAAAAACAACAGCAGAGATATATTTGCAATTTTATTGATTGAAACTCGCTATCATAATCCGAAGGGGAGATAAAGTGTAACGACGTACCATGTATTTGACTCGTAATCGATGTTATTACTCAAAAAGATATTTTTAACATGCTAATTCAAAACACGCCACTTATATACCTATATCCGCTTGTTCGTCTATCTAAATAATTATATTTCATACTATATGTAGTCTAACAATATCATTTATTATGCCGTTCAAAATTTTGATGAACCTTTAAGATCCTACACACGATAATAAAATCAAGTGCAATATAAGACCAGTGGTGGTGAGCAGCCTGCATCACTTTCTAGATCACCTCGTGTGTAGTGAAATCGAAGCCTATTTTATTCCCAATATTATTCCTGATTTTAGTTGTGTGTAGAGGACGTATTAGTTATTTATTCGGGTATAATTATCAGTATTGTATAACTTGGAAAAACATCAAGGTATTGACACGAATTATGGAAACAAGATGTTCTCCAGAATATACCTACTATGCCAATAGACATGAGTAGCTTAGTAGATATATTTTGTACTTTACACTGTTGAAACCTAAGATGTCACGGATAATCGGAGATATATGTAACGGGTTAAAATATAAGCATATGGCATATTTTTATACCTATTTTTCGATATATCTATTTTTAGGTTTCGTATTCTGAAAACTCAAACGGAACCCTATAAGTTCGTTATCTATCAGTACGTCAATACTTGTAATCGATGCTCACTCTCCCTATAACAAACCTACTTATAAATATATATAGAGTACATTTTTTGCCAACATACACTTTGTAAGAAGCAGTCTGCTTGAGTATCTTAACGTATTACAGCCTTAGAACAACTTACTTTGTAGGCTGTATATCAGTTGAAGAATGAAATAAGGCAGTAATATTACAAGACATGACATCTCAATCGTCTGGAATGACATCGCATGAGTGGTCAATCATGGGTTCTCCATGCATAGGTATATGCGACGGGTAATAGTTAGTATCAAGTGGACCATAAGGTTGTTTGTTATTACAATTATAGATGAACAAAAATATTTTTTATCCAATAAAAAGAGTTACATACAGGACAAAACATTAGAAATTTAGAAATATGAACTTACTAAACTGTTGTAATAAAAAATGTATCTTATCTGTAAAAACTTGATGGATAGACAATTTATGTTGACAATACATAAACTAATTACATCTTTACTAGCCTTGTTACCACAAAATTGTTTATGTATTTACTAGTATGTGTATTTCTAGCCTGAGGGTATTATAATAATAATGATAGAGATAGTGAGTACGTTTATATTTTTAAGTCTTCATATTCTGTTTTATTTTGTTTTTACTGTATTTGTAATTAAGTAAAAGATGGTTTATAATAAAGAAAATATTTGAACAAACGTATAAATAATTTCAGTTTATAGAACACATAAATACATTAAATAGTAGTACATGGGTGCAAAGTCGAAGTATTTGTGCATAGATATAAATATATTTAGCAATGCCTTAATAGGTACGTTGTTACAGACTCAGGACTGGATGGAGCGCCGCACGCAGCGAGCCCCCGCTGACGCTGGGCGAGCGGGAGGCCATCGCCGCAGTTGTCAAGCGAGCTGAAAAGCTGGACGAGGTCGAGGCCAGGCGAGTTGGTCGTCTAGTCGCCAGACTTGAAGGTGAATTAATCTTGAAAGTGTTAGCAATAAGGAAGTTTTCTATTTCCCCCTTTACTATCTGGCCTAAAAAATAGGGTTCGATTCGACTGTATTTTTTGGGTGGACATGATATGTTATTATATCATATCATGTCCACGCAAAAAATATCGCATAATATAAGGGAGTGAGACCTTTTGCGTTATGAATGAAACTCTGTATTTGTCACAGAAAATACAGTTACACACACAATCATTACATAGTATAAAATAAAGTCGCTATCGCTGTCTGTCCTTATGTATGCTTAAATTTTTAAACCTACGCAACGGATTTTGCAGTGGTTTTTTTAATAGATAGAGTGATTCTAGAGGAAGGTTTATATATATAATGCATGTACACCTGGGCGAAGCCAGAGAGAGTATATAGTTATATATAAAATGATAAAAAAAACAATAATAAATAAGACAAAGGCGGCCTTATCGCTAAAAATTGATCTATTCCAGTTGTTTGAGTTCGTTTTTTTTTACAAATATTTAAAAATTTAAGTAAGATTTTTCTACAATTTTATGAATTACTGCTTTTATCATTTCAGTCACAACAATATTAAGTTTCCATACAATAATAACATTTTATAAAAATAGTAAATGTTTAATGAGTAAATATCCGTGTTTTCATAGTGGGAGGTCGCAATAAAACAAGATACGTTCTAACCAAAAAAATAAGAACACAAATAAGCCAAGGGGTTCGCAACACTGATGTTTTTCGACATCTATATGTATTTTTCATTCTATATTTATACTTGTAGATTGATGTCAACATCGATGTCAATATCTATTAAGTGGGCATTATTTGCTTCCACAAAAAGAACCCCCACCATTAAAAGTATTCAAAGTACGGTCAACGGGAGAACATTTTATCTTGAATTTGTGTCTGTTTTGCTAAACTTTAATAAGAATTATTCATGACCAATTATGTGGGATGAGACATGAGAGGCAAGGGGTAATCCTAAACATATGTAAATAACTAACATTTATAAATTACAGAAGGCTGTGCCTTCAGAGTATTTATAATAAAAATATACATACTTTTTTGCACTCAAAGTAATTAGGGAATAAAATTAATAAGCGGCAATAAGAGGTAAACTTATCCATAATATAGATCTTATATATAGGTATATTGTTTAAATAAAGAAAAATATATGTATGTATATTTAATTTACTTCTTAACTTTCCAAAATAATCTCTACATCAAAAAATATCCAGTTCTCATATAGACTCTATTCTTTGGGTATTTACTCGATGTGTCAATTAATGATTCTCATTGCATAGTGATTTCCGAGTTAATCCAAACATCAATTCTATTAGGTATATGGCAAGTACATGTTCCTGTCAATTGGAAAAAATATAGATTCGCATCATAGTATAATACAAAGTAGTAAAAAAACAGTGTAACTGCGAAACCACCTCTTTTAAAAGTCTGTTAACTAATTTATGTTTAAAACTGTAAACGATTTATGTTTAAAAAGAATAAAAAGCAATTAGTAACAATTAATAAAACAATTACTTTCCTATATTATAACCTCTAATTGATACAAGTATCTCTATAATATAATTACTTGAATGTAATATCTACTGATTTAATAATGTATAGTGTAAGCGTGAGAAAATGACTAGCTATGTAGCATGTTAGGTCGCTTTTTGCGTGAATTCTCCACTGTAACGACCTGACTTCATACTTCTCCTATCATCCTTCACTCATGATCCACAACCGTTATATCGTTACCGCAGGTAAATGCACCATATACTATCTTCATCCATTTCAAAAAAGATAGGCTGCACGTAGGCTGTAAAATATCCAATAATCTAAACCTACTAAACATAATTACAGCTAGAGCCGTCAATATATATTTACTTTATATTTTTCACATCTATTATTAACCACTGTATAAATTATAATGTAAATTTAAAACAAGACGTCACTATAAAAAAAACTTCCATGCCAACAAACTGAACCGTTCGACTGAGAAAGAAAGGTATTTTTCTTTCTCAACTCCAGGACTGTATTTGCTTAGTTCAGTAGAAAACAATCAACAAAATATTTATGTCTTATGTAAACAAACATTATTCTGTTTTATTTCTGTTTATATTTGTTATATGTCGTATTATTAAATTGGGTACTATATAATATACTGTATTTAATCTTAATAATATTGTATGATACTATTGAGACTTTCGTATACATATTTGTATGTTTTATACATGATGCGGATAGACTAACTTTAACAAAATGTATAGTACTATTCTTTAAAAAAATATAGTTATAGATTTGCGCTTTTATTTCGCGATTATTGACTAGCATTACATTACAACAATCACTCTGAAATGAGAATGAAAGTAAAGTAAGTTGTGAAGCAAGATTAAAAACTATTGCACTACACATTAAGACGAAAAAAATGCATTTGTACATACTACTCTCAGGTTTGTTTTAACCTATGTTTGAATGCAGTTTTCTCTGATAATATAGTAAGCATCCTTGCGAGATGATATTAGTAGGTATTAGTTTTTATTTATTTATTGTAATTTCGAATACGAAGTCGCGAGAGTAGCTTGTACTTAATGAAGCATACTATTACATATAGGTATTACATACAAAGTTATTAAGGATAATTCTATTTAGAAAAGGTCACCAATATAGGCGGTTGATTATTTCTCAAAACTCTATTATCATGAGTGCTTCCGGGCCAATTTGCGTAGGAATAATAAAATTGTCTGCTCTGAGCCGCAATTTAATAAATTAATGAAATGAAAGCTTCTTCATTAGCATCTATTCAAATGAAAATACGTACCACCTAGTTACAGTATCACTGTCAATTATTTCTTAATAAATGATAGAGTTTTTTTTATCAAAGAATTATCTATTTTTTCATTATATCCCACTTTTATAAAGACTATTTATAAGTGTAATGGCAAAATATTTTTATTACAGATTTTTTTTAACTATTTATGTTGTAGAATATATACTTATTTCAATAGGTTTAATTTGTCTTTCTAAAATGTTAATAATTCATGTGGGCATAATACTGATAGACTAGTATACATGTAATATAAAATTTAAAAAAATATATGCCTAAACCAGTTAACAGCTGGAGAAATAAAAATAATAAAACTATATAATATACTATATAAACCGATACTTCATCCGCATCACATTTTCTAAGTTTTTAACACATTTTATATATGTAGGTACATATATTGACTATAACATACAGAGAAGTATTAGTAAGTAATATAAAAAAAACCTTCATAGAATTAGTACCTACTGATTATTTTATTATATTATCTAAATTAAAATAAAGAACACGACGCACAGCCTCTTGGTCTACCTTTTTATCACACCGCCTTAGTTTCAATAGCAGCGGATTTGATTCCATGCACGGTACAAACAATTATAGGATTGAGTGGGATTGTATTGGTTTGGATGTTTTCTATGTATATTTTATACGTATTTAAATAAAATGTATGTAAAAAATTACATCAGTTGTCATGTACCGTAGTGCAAGCTCTTCTTAGTTGAGACGACCCAAACTGAGCAGGGTTTGTCCTGAAATATAACAAAAAAATATGAATTTAAAAGAATAGGTCCCAGTGATACTGGTGGTTCTAATGATACTGTTTGTTAAATAAACATTAAAAAATCTATAAGGAGCTCGTTTGTCATTTCAATAATTTTAAACTAGTATCCTATGTCTATATCTAACCTAGACCGTAGGGTCAAATACAATAATAAAATGGACATACACGTATAGTTGAAACTATGAAAAACTTTATGACTGAGGTTTGAAACGATTTAACATATTTTATTTTCAAACACAGGAATGCGACGGTCGGCACAAGGCCCTGCTCCTAGGTCATGTTTGGTGTGCGGTGAAACAGCGAGGCTTTTAGCTCCTTTAAGGACCTGTGCGATATGCAACCAGTCCGCCTGTCCAAAATGCGTCATAGAGACTCCTCTACATAGGTAAGAACTACTTCGTAATAACATCTCTATTTACAATAATAACAGCGGCATAAAAATTAACGACTATGGGTGTTAACGTCATAATAATAAAGTTAAGAACTGTAGTGAAGTATAGGTAGAACTGGTTGTATGTAAATGTATGTGTAATGTGTATGTAACCTATTGTGAATAAAGCTATGACAATAAGGTATATACTGTCTGTAATGTAGTTTTAGTTGATCTTTTTATGGAATGCGGCCCAGGATTGTTGGAACCGCATTTGTTGGGTTCTAGAGATCTTAACTTTTTTATTTTCGTTATTCATAACCGCTACATCTTCATCATTGGTTCATTAAATAATATATTGTCTGTATAATAACACAATAAATGATTTTATAAATGCAGGATATAATCTTCGAAAGCAATTTGACTTACCTAATATATCCCCTTAGAGCAGTTATAGAAATATTTGTTTTTCACTATTTGAAAGATTATAAGAGTACGAGTATAGGTACATTTACATTTTTATTTATTATAAATTACATTTTTCTTCAAGTGAGTTTCCAGAAAAGTTTTAAAAAAAAACAATGTCTTATAACTAAAGTGCGGTTTGAGATACCTACTTATATACAGTTAGTCATGTGAAAACCTTTCCACGGAGACTCGGGTTCGGGCCGAGGTATTTGCCGGGGTTTGCCCAAGAGACAACGTATAAATCATTATCGTGATTTAGAATTTAGAACACATGTTAATTATAACCCACATAATGCAAACCATACAATAAATACTAATTCCTAACAATAATATATATGAATTTTTACTTGATAATTTGATACTAAACCCCAAATATTTCTGAGGTCTAATTAATGTTGTTAGACAATTTTTTAAATATTGTTATAGGTATAATCATGAATAAGAGCAGTGAATATAAAAATTATGATATTTCAATTTGCACTAATCGGTAAATAACAAAATTCTGCAATTGTGTCGGTATTTTTAGTTCTTGCTATATACGACCTAATGAAATTAGACAACAGTGGTATTTTAGACATTAAATGTATGTACATTTAATGTCTAAAATACCACTGTTGTCTAATTTCAAAGAGACATCTTTTTTTATTTAATTCGGATGACTTGAGAATTGTTAATAACAATGTTATGTAATTCAGACCCGGATATCAGTGATAAAGCAATGCAAAGTTTGATAGAGTACAGTCCGGATATGAACATTTGGGTTATTAATTTCGGAGTAGACCCTTAGGGTAAGGAGACTTATGTCAATAAATTCTTACTTCACGTCTCATTTTTGCTCAACTTCTTATATTTATATAAGTCCTATCAGAAATAAACATATAAAAAATTATATCTCTAATAAACCTTTATTTATAAACGTTACTTCATAATTAACGGCAAGTAAAAATACTTGCGCCCTTAAAAACCTTTTACAAAACCTTGAAATAGTTACCGAGCGTCTAATTATTAACAAGGAGCAGGTTACTAGGTAAATATAGACATAGGCAGAGTGGAGCTCCCGAAACCTTCCTTATGAATCAATAATAACGGGAAAAGATATTTTTACTTTATTCTACTAGCATGTATAAAGCGATTGTATTAAATCTTGTTCTAGCACTGGTATATAAACTGATTTCTCACGAAACAATTATAACAACGGGAAAGCAATATTGATAATCAACTGTAATTTATTTATTACTTTCTATAAATTGAGAATAGAATTCATTAAAAATTATTTTTATTTATATGGTATTTAAACTAAAATAATTCCCTATGTCTAATGTCTGTTTTTGTGAAAATCTATCTGCACGTAAAATTTCATTAAGATCCGTTCAGCCGTTTAGTCAAGAAGAAATAACAAACAGAAAGATACACTTTCGCATTTATAATATTCCTTTAGATTTTGAAGCTATGGTGTATAGGAAAACATAATGTTACATTTTGCATATCTAAGGTTTCTATTCCTTACGTCAGCGGCCGTACTCGAAAATGACGGGGGCGGCGGTGAGAACGGTTCTTTTCCGGAGCGGCATATTTCACTAAATGATCTCAGAAAAGTTAAGAAAAAATTGTACTATTTCTATCTATATATACTGTATTTATGGGTATATATAAACTCAGCGACTTCGAAAAAGCGACTTCCTTTACTAAAATTTTCATTTTATTTTCGAAGAAGAAACATAGTATCTCTGTTATCATGTTAAAATCTATTTTGATTATAAATTTCATTAATATCCGTTCAGCCTTTTAGTCTTGTAAAGGCAACGAAGAGACATACCTATCTACTTTTAAATTAATACTGTTTAGTATGAATAATTGTGATAATATTTCACAACAGAAATAGTAATCCTTTCTATTATAATAAGTATAATATGATTTTTATACGGTTATCAATATCTAATTTTTGAAACTTAAATTAGAAACTTCATTTTAACTGTCTAATTATATTTCCGAAATTTAAAAACTCAACATTCTAACAAGTACTCGTATTTTACGCCTACGTACAAAATTAATTATATCAAATTTATTTAAATATCTACCTACACATATTATATTTTAATTATATTCAATTTAATAAAAAAGTATATAGGTGTAGGGTACAATATAAGCAAACCTTTATATACTAAATTGTTTACTATGTTCTAAAGGTGGGATAGATATTTAATTTTTAGGTGTGTATCGAGCAATCAAACTTGTTTATACTGTCGTATACGTAAATTAAATTGTTCAAAGAAATTCAATCTGCTTACTTTATTAATTAATTTTTATCAATCGCGAAGCCGCAGTGCTTCTCCATAGAATCAATGAACAATATGACGCTATTTTTAAACTTGTCTAGTTATTAAATCAATTAATTCTATCTTTAGTAGCATATTGTAATTACTGTAGAAGAGACGTGACTAATATTTTTTTTATTTATTCTTTAAGTCTATAGAGTATCTAGTTATATTAATCATTTTCAATAATATATCTCATTATAATATGAAGCTTACTTCAGCTTACACTTATAAATATGTTGTATTGTAGAAAAATCTAATTACTGATTTGAAATGTCGGTTTAGGTAAGAAAAATCTGAAAGTAATTCTGTTATTTTTCTTTTGTGAGCAATTTAAAATTATACAAATTTAATATTTTGTGTAAATACTATATATACATAAGAGAATAATATGTATGGACATATTAAACATCCATTTATAAAAACATCCATTAAAAAAAAAAGGAATGTAATGTCTTCGGCTCTAGAGCAAACAAGTGCCTACGAAGCAAGAGTAAACGAGTACAACAAGTACTCTTACCTGAGTATGAATTAGGAGACAGCTAGCATTCTGTAGAACCCTATTTGATGATCAGGACTATCGAAGAAAACTGTGAACCAAGTTACCCGTATATTATATTTATTTAGTCAGAAATCGCGTTTTACTTGTTATTTTCATTACTTTTAAATATTATTATTATATATATTTAGAACTAAAAACTTATTCATGTAAACTTATATGACAAGAAATATATTAATATTATAAAGAATTGTTTTTATAACTAAAATGAATCTGGTTGTAATGGATGATGAGATTATTACTAGTATATTTGCACCCCTAAGCAGCTGAGGGCGCTAGTTTTAAATAAAACTGAAATTAAGGAAGATGTTCTTAATATATTTAGACTCTTTAATAATGTCGCCATTAGTTTGTATAGATTTATGGTAGCTGGAAATATATCGTATCTCTATTTCGAGATAAATCACGTACTAATTAATCACAAAACAAACAATTTTATCACGGGTCATCTTGCACAAAATGGCCTGTAGATTTATTTTCCTTGTACACCGCTTACATAGAAGATAAGTAAAGTTTTTTTTTATTTTTATTACACTAACAGTTACAGCTTACAAAAGAACCTCCTTGGCTGCAGAAATAGGTACATAGCAAAAATGTATAATTTTTACCTCAGTAAATAATATATAAATAAAAAACATTGGGGAGTAGATCTCCCATTCGTTCCAGAGAGCAGTACATGTGCAACCTTTGTGCGGAGACTAGGGAGATGTGGAAGAAGTCGGGAGCTTGGTTTTTTAAGTCTTTGCCAAAGTACATTCTACCGGAGAGAAGGGCAACGGGACGGTATAATGATTTGGAACTGGCGCGGGCTCTACAGGTATGTACATATAAATGAACATTTACTCGTAACAAAAAATACCTACTTTTAAAAGGAAATCGTGTAATATTTACCTCCATAATTTTGTACAGTGATGAATTTTAATATCTATATTTTTTTCTCTTTTGAAGTTGACTAAAAAATACTACAAAAGATAGTTGATGTTGTTATATATGTATTATTCAAGTAACTGACACAATTCACCTTGCAATTCAAAGTAAAGTACGTCTGTTATAATCCCCTAAATGGTACATGTTATTGTAGTTAAATTTTTATTATTGTAGTTGAATTAAATTTAAAATAAAAAAATGATCTCTTGAGGACTGCGCTATTCACTTTTTATATAAAATATCCAAACTATTTATATTATATTACTATTTTATTTTTTTATAAAACTTATAAGTCATAATCGAAGTGCCCGAGATATCACTAATATTTATCAAGTCCTTCGATGGCTATTAGTTGCTGACAGAAGTCATATCACACATAACGAGAAAGTTAATTTCCTAAGTTTGCTCATGCGATAATCGAACGAGGGGACTACTACATACTACTAAATAACAAGTGCGAGGATCTGACAAAAGTTCGGACATTTTCTATTAAAAACTTCACTGGATGTGATCAGTACGGACCAAAGCTGCCAATCGTACGAAAAAACTCGTCCTTCGCTACGAGGAGATTTTCATCCTTGTACGAATTTGTACCAGGTTTTGACCTACAGAAAAAGATCAAAATACGATGAAGTATGAGATTAGAGAGTAAATTTAGTAACCTTACGACATATTGATGATATTCATAACGTGGCCATTTCCATCTTCATACATGTTTGTACGAGATATTGACCTCATGATATGAGGTTTTAAAGCCAAATTAAGCTAATATACGACCCTTTAATATTTTATGCTACAACCCTGGTACGGATGTCCTATTCGGACCGATTAAACTATATTTAACATTCAATATCTTACTCTACACCCAACAATTTTAATTTAACTGTCAATTTCACTGTTTAGGTATTTACATTCTAACATTTGAATATGTGATTTCGGAATAGGTCCCTAGGATTCTTGTAATTCGGATGTCATTAAAACTAGGGTACGTACATTATAATATTACTATATTATAGTGTATCTTGCCTACTAGTTTGCCATAAAAAATATTATCTTTCAAATACAATTCTTATTATGTTTTATTATTATAGTTCAGATAGATCTTTAGACAAGATAAATGAACTATATGTTCATAATTCATCAGAAAGTCCCCTGTTGCTTTATTGTTTTAGACATCTCCCAGTAATATCGCTAGAAATGGCATTTTTCTATACTGAAATAAAATGTACTTTTATTAGATCAACGTAATAAATATTCGTGTATATATGGCAGTTATTCTGAATTCTAGAATTAGTAAATGAAATTAAATGTCTACTATTTTATAAATGACTCCAAATATTTATTTAACCATATTTTATTGTAAATTGAATTACTTCGGAAAAATATTTTAGAATGGTATAAAATCATAACAAAATTTACAAGAAGACTCTGTTACGACATAAATATCTCATGCGACTACATATGCAATATCTGGCTGCTTACACTACAGAGTGGATTTTATTACATACCATTAGCACTAAAATTATGTAACAAGTTAAGCTATACCAGCTTTTCTGCATTTATTGCAGCCTTGAACTGTACTTAGATGCAAAATACAACAGTATAATATATTCGTTTCATTTTCTATCTACAATTTATATTAACAACAATATAATAAGTCAACGAGAGTTAGCTACGTAAAGAGATAATGTATTTTCGTAGTCGATGCTACATTTTCTCTTCTATTTCGAATATTTAAATACAAACGAGTTATACAAACGTAACTACTAAATTAGAATTGTAATTAAGTATTTAAAATGTATCTTTTTGTATTCTGTCAAAGGTACATTTATTATTGCAAAGTAAAAAGATCATAAAAAATATCCTCTTATGAAAATGAAACTTATTTTTGTGCTTAAATTTTACTTTTGTATATTTAAGTAATTTGAATGTAATAGCTATACTTTAGTATAACTCTTTGTATTCTAACATAATACTGATACTGCACGTCAGTCTTGTTGACTGAGAAAGCTGAAACTTTATGTATGCTGACACGTATGACACGTCTATATTACTGTAATGGACTTGTCTTCAAACTTTCATATAGATAAGTGCATAAATGTTGTTATGAAATATTTAGAAGCCACACTTTGTAATGTATGTATCAATTTAAATATATACAAATAAATAAAATACTTTATATCTGCTTATAATTGCAAATTAACAGCTTTTCACAAAATTTTCTATTTCACTAAAATACAGTGCTTACATAAAGTAAATTTGTCTGTTTTTCACTCTGTCTGTTTGTACTGGCTAATCTCTGAAACAGCTGGATCGATTTAGACGGGACACTCGCACATAGCTAATGGTGGTGGCTTTTTATAAGCCATTTAGGCTACTTTTATTCTTTAAATTTTATTTATATATATTTATATACATAATAAAAAATATTCGCAGTCGCGGGTTTGCGCTAGTACTTCTATAAATTATATTTAAAATTACGTCATTTTATTTATAAAGATGATATAAGGTATCTTTTATCGTAATTAATTAATATAGAAGAATACACTATTGGCTTGAAGCTTAATATAATAACTCTATTATGATTTTTTAATATTTTATGTCGTCCATCGAAAATTGGTATAATTATTAAATACCTACTCTGTTTGCCTTTGTATAGCAATATTAGTCTTTGTTTTGCTTTATACTAGATTCTGCTTCACTTCTATCCCCAAATTTTGTTTTTATTAGTAAGTACAGTGCAGCGAATAGAGTGAGTGAGTGCAGTGGTAAATATAAGAAATTAGAGTCATATTTCATTATTATATTTAAATTTTATACACGTAATAGTACAAAGAGGTTTCATCACTAACAATAAGTAGTAACGAATTATGCTACACATAGCTACATCATTGCATTGTTATGTCAAATTAGTCTTATTTTCCATAAAATTTTATTTATTACCAACTTACTGTTACTTAACATTATTATATATTTTTTGTCGCCCTCGGTAGTCTAGCGGTAGCATACATATGATTGTTTGTATCGGTATGGGTGTTTTCGCATAGAAAATTATGTATGTGTTTACTAAAAAATTATGAATTTATATCAGTTGTCTAGTATTTATAACACAAGCTTTGCTTGCCGTGGGACTAAATGGCGTTGTGTTAATTATCCAGGGGTATTCATTCTGATTTATTACGTCTTTTTAAGCAGAGTGAAAGTTAAATCTTTTAACAATCTTCATTAATATGTAAGTAAAAATATAGGATTAATAGACACAAGAATAAATAAAGTGCTCAGTTATACGTGGGTTCAAAAAGAATCTCAGAATAAAGTTTTCTCCCTTTAAAGCAGTGTTTAAACTAAAATAAACAAACAGTGTAAATTTATGTTTCGTTTCAGCAGGACGGTGGTAACAGTAGTAACGAAGGCAAGACTGATTCAGAACCAGGTTCTCCACTAAGCATACATGCTCCCTCGTTCTCCAGGCAGGCAAGCAACAACGACCATAGAAAATCTATAGGATCACCCCACGTAAGTATCTTATTTGTTTGTCTGAATATCTGATACAAATAATAGCTTTAATTTTTAATTTTAAATAGATTTCTGTATACTGGTGGCCCAATCTCCACACAGGTTCAAAGTTAGGGCTTAAAATTTCAAAGGTCTATAAGTATTATAGTATGAAATCGCTGAATTCGTATGTTTGTTATATGTATTTGTATTGTTCACTTAGTTTTTCTAAAGTGAGTGATGGCTTTATTTTAAAACTTACTTACGAAAGTTTTTTACGTGTGTTTTATATGAATGATAAAGTAAGTAAATATCTAATATTATTTTATCTGAACATCATTACATAGTTTAAAACAAACTCGCTGTCGCTGTCTGTTCCTATGTATGCTTAAATCTTTAAAACCACGTAACGGTTTTTGAAGCGGTTTTTGTTAATAGTTAGAGTGATTCAAGAGGACGGTTTATATATATAATACATGTACACCCGTGCGAAGCCGGGGCGAGTAGCTAGTATCATATAAATCGGATTTATTTACCATTTTTTATAACGTATGGTTTTCAGCTTTTGATTTAAAATGTAAAAAAATGACTGTGTATACAAAAAAATATTAATACATGCATTTAAGGTACAAATAAACTATCAATATGAATATTTCGCGTATCCATTGCTTATTTGAATTCTCTATTGATATTTATACACAGAGTCTCTGCGTTTGTAGAGTTGCTTACACAGTCTAAAAATTGACGAATTTTTTGAAGCATCAAAGGTTTTACAGGAAAACGTGAACGTTCAGAAGAGAATCTGTACTCGGCTTTTCTCATGTGGAAATAACAATCTTTTTGACAAATATACGCTCAAAAAAATCCACTCTGCAAAATAATTTTCAAGAACATGCAAGCGCCATAGAATGAATGTTAATAGATACTCTTTCTATGAATATGGTCACGTAAAGTAAAGTAACTCACCAGTCGGTAATAAATGTATATATATACATTATTAATAACTAAATATGATATTTAATATTGATTAAACTACATGGCAGTACATTACACATTATACATAATTGTACTAAAGCTAAATATTTTATAACTGAAAAATAGTAGAGAATTAAATTATTTGTTCTCTATTTTTGAGTTAGCTAAGCTTTTAAATGATGCTTTGTAATAATTTCAGTTATACAAATGATCGATGCCTAATATTTTTTTTAATTAGTACTATTACAATTACTACTTTGAAGTGTGATACAATGCCTTAAAAGTTTCATTGCCATTACAGTATCTCGAAAGTAATTATTAACAATCTTAAATTTGTATAGTACTTGTGACTGTATATATGTACCTAAATATGTATATAGAGTGATTTGTACAGCACTTACGTGATTTGTATAAAAAGCATTAATGTTAATTGTATAGTAAATACCAGTTCAAATTAAATGAAATTCGTTGGTTTTATTATAGTTGTATTAGTGCACGATTTTCACCACCAATTGTCGTGATGAGATTTCGTTAATATGTATGTTTGTAGCTTTAGGATGAAAATGTATTGGTGTAACAATTATTAGTGAGAATTAATTAGTTTACTAATAAAAACATAGATTTTCGTTTTATTTTTGTCGTTTTATTTATCGTTTACAAATGCACGGGCGCACAAAGTCAAGGTCACAACTAGTGTTTAATAAAATAGGTTCTCCCAATTTCAAGGCCCAGTTGATCGATGGCGTAAACAGACGTCAAGATTTAATACTATACCTTACTTGACTGGCCGACATTATATAAGGAACGCTCATAAAAGCTTTTCAAAGAAATGGGGCTTAGTTTATTGCAAATCTCCTGAGCTGTCTCTTTGGGGGTGACTCGTTTATTTATAAATAGACATAATGGATTTCGGTGCCCCATTAAACTAAATTAAATTAATTTCACTGGATTTTCTCTGTCGCAGTTAAATTACGGCCGCATGTTAATTCTGTCATATTAATTTAGTTTACTTTTGTAAATCCGAAGGTTTAGGGCATTCTATTTACGTAGTCGAATTACGTATGGTTCTCTTTTTTATACTCTTTAAATCATTTGGAGGCTACAAAATAATTCAGCAGAACTAGAGTATTTTCAGTGTTATAAAAATTCTTAAATGTTTTGCAGCGTTGAAAGCTTATATTGGGTGTCAATGGTTAAGTACTTACATTTTATAATAGCCAGTATTCTTACATGTTTCCTTTCAAGAGCAATAATGGACTACTGTAAGCCCTTTTGTAGAAAAAGTCATTTATAATTGACTTTTTGTGTAGGTACAGTGAAAGAGAGGACATTCATATGGATTGAATAATAACATTACATTTTTTATTCTAACCTTTATAGTACGTAGGTATATATACTACTAAATGGAACATGTGACGGAAGGATGTGTTTTGTACACCATATCATTCAATGTCCTTTGGCGCAAATCATTACAAAGTATAAAACAAAGTCGCTGTCACTGTTTTGAGTTTATGTATAACAATAGTAGAAAGATAATATCTAAAACCACTGTACCTATTATAGTAAATATTTTAACATATTAAATTTTGCTTCCAGATGAACATAGTAGGTGTAAACTTGTATATTGAAAATCGAACTTCGAGCATTTAAGTAGGCACAGAGTACCTACTAGTTAGTTACACACACACCTTTCTTGTGTCTAGTCCACATTCTTTTTGTTTCTCTGAAACAACTTTTCCTAAAAATATAATTTGTTGTACAATTTTCAGCTTGATATAGTTTTATTACAATGTAACATTATTTATTCCGAAGGAGTATAAAAAACACAATATGTACAACATGTAGAATCAATGTCTCATAACTTCACAACACCAACTCTACACAATAGGTAGCTGTGATAAACATGTTTTGTGTAGTTTCTCTACACCCCAAAAGTCCCAAACCATTGAGGCAGTCAACCGATTGTAATGAATTTTGTAACAATCGATAGGTAAATCTCACACTCATGACGAGATATACAGAGGAAGGCCACCCAATATCCTTGTCATATATATTCATATTATGTAGTTGGTTAAACTTTATACCCATTTTTATATAATCCTTAACTTACATCTGTAAGGTTATATTCCTTTGATAGGTTCTTTTTCTTTTCTACTGTATTTTTTCATAAACTATTTATTTTATAACTTTTAGTAATAACAACAGTATAAAAATGTAATGAATGTAGCATGTGTAAGAATAAAATAGTAAGTGCACAAATACAAAGTACGGACGCATAATATTTCAGTCCAAAGGAATGGCAACGCATTAGGATTACCATGGGAATCACATGATCATATGATTATTGTAGTGCTGGTACTGTGTGTAGGCGACGTTTGCTACTTACCATGGGGTGAGCATTAGCTTTTTGCCATTCCAATTGCATAAAAATAGGTCACTTAGTTAACAAAGTATATGAGTTATTAAATTGACGTACAAAGAGACTTATATTTTTTTAGTATTCCTTTTTAATACACCCAATATTATAAATTCACAGTATTGAGTAGATGTAGTAACTGCCTAATACAATACAAGTTAATAGGTATATAATATCTATGTTAACCATGACTTAATGCCTTTTTTACTGTGGGGAAAGGTATTTAGGTCCTATTTAAGTATGTGAGTATACGCGCATGATTCCGGTTCTATTTAGTTGGGGCAATTTCTCCCTCAAGACTAGCACCCCTGTCCCAGTGATACATAATGCCTAAGTCTACTAGAAAGTGTCTCAGGCCATACCAATATAGATACCTCACTTTCTACAGAAATTCTCGTTTCCTATTCATCTGTATATGCTATTAAGTAATTAGGCATTCAGCTATTTCTATCTGTCAATTGATGGGTTGATATTAGATTCTAAAGAGAAGCACGTGAGACAGACCGCGCCCTCACGTGGCGAACAGAAAGGAGTCTCACGTTCGCGTTACAAATTAGTCTGAAAGCTGAATAATAAAATTATTATACAGTGCGTACGACACGAGGACGTATTTACCCACGTACAATGAGGTGCGAGATTTTAAAGTACGAAAACTTATAAATAAATTTTCCACTGTTCCTAAAAGTATGTGTTAAATAACTCTCTCTCTCTCTCTAACTGTCACATTCTTGCCCCTTTTCCAATATTTTGTATATTGGAAAAGGGGCAAGAATGTGACAGTTAGACGATTTAGTTTACAACTCTGGAGTTAACAGACTTATGTTGCTCGAGGATATATCATGAAAAACAACAAGGTTTAAGTCAGTAGCTTTATTTTATACCTACATACATTGTTGAGAAATCATCGGTAAAAATAGGACATTGTCCAATGATAAATATGGGAAACATACTCATACTTATCAGAGAACAATATATTTTTTACGAATATAAATCTTTATGTTGTTTTCCTAGATAGACTATTTGTATTATGGGCCATTTCACATCCATTCAATCTTTTCCCAATTATCTGTTTGTAACATCAATTTATAGATAAAAGAATCAAACCATTTCACACGTGCCTACCCACATTATTTATCACCTGCATAAAAATGAGAAGAAATTAAGAGAAGTAGGGTAGGTACGTTTGACAAATTTGGTGTGCACAAAAAGGATTGCATTATAATATGAGATATTTTATATACAAAAGCTATTATTGTACGGTTGATTTTCCCAATGACCATTGTATTTTGTAAATAGCATACAAATAACTGCTATACAAAACTAAAAGCATTCTTTGATTCAGCGGTTCTTTTGTGGGTCAAGTGGAGAACCGTGTTCCATGTTCGGCGACAATACAGTCATAAGAAAATATGTAATAATCTAGCAATAAAGTACTAATTGATGTGATTCTAACAAACAGCATAATCAATATTTTTTACTAGCTGTAGGCATGCAACGGCGTTACTTGCGTTATTTGGGTAGAAAATATAGTATATACACTTTGGATGTCTATTTGTGTACCAAACTTATTAGAGATACGTGTCCAGCATCTTTTATGTGACAGATTCATGCACTCACTTCACTTATATCT